TGAGAGTAGCTTCTAAACTCTTAAGGAAAGGTTGGCTAGTGCTAATATTACTAGATTTTAGTAAGCCTTTTTTGGTATATAGTAGTGCTTCTAAGATAGGTTTGGGCGGAGTGTTGATGCAAAAAGGAACGGTAGTAGCTTATGCTTCTAGGAAATTGAAAACTCAGTAGAGGAATTACCTTACCTATGATTTTAAGTTAGCGGTTGTAATATTTAGAGACACTACCTATATGATTCTAAGCTTGAGGTATTTATTGATCATTAGAGCCTTAATTATCCGTTGACCGAAGGAGTTAAATTATGGGTATGCTCTAATATTGTGACATCGGGGCAGAGGATTTCTTGGACATGGATTTTATTTGTATATGGAGTTGTACTTATTATTTTGAAAACATTTTGTAACCTCTTAAGTTTTATTTTCCAAGTTTCATTTTTAAAAAAAATATTTTGGATATTGAAGAATGTTTTTAAAGGTTTTTATGTGAACCCTTTTACCAACGTTGAAAAATTTATTCGTTAGTTTTATTATTACAATATATGTGTTGGGGTAGTAAGGGTGTCACAACTACCATCTCCATTTCCCCAATAAAGCAAAACTGAAGGCCCTCAGATCCCTCGAACCTAGACCCCAAATTATTTTCTCTGCACACATCAACCCAAGGAACCCAAGCTATTTTCTGGTGTTCATCATCGCCACCCCAAAGAAAATTTTTAAATAAAGATTCAAGATGATAAATGATACCTTTGGGAGCTTTGGAGAAGGAAAGAAAAAAGATTAGGATGGAATGAAGGACAAATTTCAGTAAGACAAGTCTACCACCAAAGGATAACAATTTACTCTTCCATTTCGAAAGTCTTTTCTCCACCTTTCGCACCGCAGGCTACCAAGTCTTCAAGCGTGTGGGATCTGCACCAATTGGTAGCCCTAAGTAATTACAAGGAAAAGATCCAACTTTACAATTCAGAAACTGGGCCATATACTCCAACCAAAATAAATCAACACTAACTCCTAAGAGCTGACTTTTGTGAAAATTTACTTTTAGGCCCGCTACTAACTCAAACATTTGTAAATAACTTTAATAGCCCAAATATTAGAGGAGGAAGCATCACCCAAAATAATGGTGTCATCAGCATATTGTAGATGGGAGACTAAAATCGTATCTCGTCCAGCAAAGTATCCTGCAAACACACCTTCCTACATTGATTTAACTATCAAAGAATTCAACCCTTCTACAACAATAAAAAAAAAAGAGATAAAGGATTTCCTTGCTTCAATCCTCTACCAACCTCAAATTCCTTAGACGAGCTACCATTAATTAAAACAAAAACACTAGTTGAGGTTAAACAGTCTGCAATCCATTTCTTCTGCAGTGTAGGAAACCCATTCTTTTCATAACAAACAATAAATAATCCCAATTAACAGAATCGTAAGCCTTCTCAAAATCAACCTTAAACATCAAACAAGGCTTTCTCATTTTCTTAGCCTTTTCAATAATTTCATTAACAATCACCATGCTATCAAAAATTAATCTACCTTTCAAGAAGGCAGATTGTCATGCAAAAATCACCTTCCCAATGACTTTCCTCAATCTATTTGTCAGCAATTTTGACAACACTTTATACATACACCCAATTAAAGAAATAGGTCGATATTCTTCCACTTCTTGGGGATTGTCTGTTTTAGGCACAAGAACCACAAATGAACTGTTTGAGCCTTTAACTAGCTTACCATTAACATGAAACTCATTAATAAAAGCTAGGAAATCATATTTGATATCATCCCATAAATCCTTCATAAAAGTGAAATTGAACCCATTTGGACCTGGATTTTTGGCTCCCTCACAATCCCAAACAACAATCCTCACTTCCTCATCAGAGAAGGGTAAAATTAAGGTCGCAGCATCTACTTCTAACAAATTTTTAAAGACTGAATCATGGAGGACAGGTTTACACTAATCCTTCTCATAGTAATGCTCCTCAAAAAACACCTTAACTACATCTTTTATTAATGTTAGCTCATTAAATCTTACATTAGACACCTTCAGACTTCGAATTTCTTTTCTAATCCTTCTCTACTTGATACAAGCTTGGAAGAATTTTGAGTTAGCGTCCTCAGCTTCTATCCACTTTATCCTAGACTTTTGAAACAACAATTTATCTTTCAAGGACATAGATGCACACAACATAGCTTTTCACTCCTTCCTTTTTAAAACTTCAGCTTCCAGCAAGTCAGACTCTTCACTTTTTAGATCCAACAAATTAAGATTATCCCTTGCCTCATCTATTTTGCTATCCAAATCACCAAATGTGTCCTTATTCCATTTACGCGAGCTACATTTTAAAAGTTTAAGTTTCTCCTTCAATACAAATGTAGCTCTAGCCTCCACATTTAATTCCTTCCATAAAGATTTCACAAAATCAACATATCTTGCATCACTCCTCCAACAGTCGAGAATTGTAAAAGGCTTTGGGCCCCAATTAATGACTTCATCTTTTAACAGAAGTGCATAATGATCAGAGACACACCTCTGCTAAGTCTCCACTATATGGTATGAGGCCAAAGAGACATATTAATATTTTCTATACAAAATTAATTGATTTTTTTTGGTAAAATTGTTCAAATAGATTAAACTTAAATCAAATAATATATACTTAAAAAATAATCAGACTAAATAAATATTGATTTAAATAATTTTTAATTAACTATCTCATCTTCACATACAAAAATAAATAACATTTCTTATTCTTTTATTCTTTTGTCACGTTCAAAAGTTTTTTTTTTATCATCATTAATTGATTCTGATTTGTCGATATTTTCTTCATAAATAAAATCTTACATATTCTGTTTAATAAATGTTAAAAGAAAATAATATCAAATATAATAAATATACAAATTTGTGATATAAATTTACAATAATTTACAACAAAAAAAATAGTAAATATAATATTTTATTATATAAATTTATGATAATTTGCATATAAAGTATTTAAATATATAATTTTGATATTAAACATTTTTCATAGATGCATGAATCTTTTTGTATTATAATTTTTAATTATAAATAAAATATTTTAATACGAAGTTACAGTTAAAAAATAAAATTTATTTTAATAACTTAAAACGAACGAAAAAGTAATTTAAAAATTACATTTTCATTAAGAAACAACATCTCAATATTTGAAGAATTTTTAGAATTGTTGTACTATAAAAATAGAAGAACACTTACTTTTATTTACATGGATAAAAGACAATAAAGACAACCATCATAAAAATAAAAAAAGGAAAATAAATATGCTATAAATGAGAATATACATGTAATATTAGACAAAATGACTGAGATATATAGTATAATTAAGTCTGACCAAATAGGAGATATGAAGAGATTGAAATAACTATTAAATTAAATATCAATTATATTATTTTGAAAATATAAATATCAATTATCAGATATCATATTATAAAATAGCGTCAACGAAAAGTATTAAATAAAATAAATAATAATTATAACATATATACACTATTAAATTATACAAAGTGGATAGAATGCAAAATCAAGAGTAAATAGTAATTAGAAAAAAAAATTCATTATTAATAATATTCCCTAATATTAATTAGACTTTATCTAAGTTTTTATTAAAATTTGGGTTTTTAGACTTAATTAGGAATGATTAGATTAATTAATTGATATAAAACAAAAATTAATTGATATATTAAACGTAATGTTATTAAGTTTAAGTTTTTGGTATTACGTACGTTTTGTTATAGAATTAAAATTAATTGATATATTATTATGTTATTTGAATGATACGTACAAAATTATGATATAAGTTAATCACTTATATACTGTCAGTATAAATTTTTTTTTTATACTGACAACCAATTATATATCTTAATTGTGTCATGTCACTATTAAAAGTAAATGTATTTACAGTAACATGACATAATTAAGAGATATAATTGGTTGTCGGTGTAAAAAAACTTTACACTGATAGTGTATAGGTGATTAACTCTTATGATATTTATAAAATGTTAATTGATTATTATCATCAACTAGTCATTGTTCAGTTTATTTATTTATTTATTTTCTAAAGCAGTTTATGTATTTATTTTTTATATATTAATGATTAATAATTATTAAAATATTTTAATCTAAATTTAATTGATATATTAAAATATTTATATTAAACCAAAATTAATTGATATATTAACCGTAATGTTATTAAGTTTAAGTTTTTAGTATTACGTACGTTTTGTTATAAAATCAAAATTAATTGATATATTATTATGTTATTTGACTCATACGTATAATTATTATGATATTTATAAAATCGTTAATTGATTATTACGACTACCTGATTCGTGGTCAATTAATTTATGATATATTTGTTTATTTATTTATTACAGTTTATTTATTTATTGATATATTTTGACATTTGTTTTGATATACTTTAATTTTGATATGTTTATTTTAATATAATATATAAATATGGGAAGAAATTGTTGAAGACAGGTATTATATATACAAAACATATATAGTAGTTATTAGTATTATTTTTTTTAGCAAACTGATTAATTTTTATATTAATTTATCTTATTTTAATAATAATATTTATATATAAAAAAAAATTAAAATGAATTTTGGAGGAAAGAGAATTATTGCATAATGTTTTTCTTTTATATTATTAATTAATAATAGATAAATGACCTTGATGGATTTTATTGGCCATGCAATTTATTAATTAACTACAAGAGCCAAAACTTCTGGATGTCCTTCACAACCTCCCAAGCCAACCATTGAATGTGTGGATTGGCTTTGAAACCCAAAAATGCATGTTAAATTTAAAAGCAACCCTCTCCTTAATTACTTGTACATATTTTCTTTAGAAAGTGAAAATTTCTGTTTTACATTTCAAATGTTTTCCCAAACATACTCTAAAAGGTATATACACAACCTTGATAATATAAATCAATATGTGATAAACAACTAAATAGCCTTGTATTGAATGAAATAAAACAATTCGTACATAGTTGATCAAAAGAAGAAGTCTGATATATGTGGCTTTTACATGATAAGCAAATTACGAATCCAAGCAGCAAAATAAACATGAGAAAAGAATACATAAAAAGATATATAAAGTTTACAAGCGGTTTTGAAATTCTTCATTTTTAAAAACCCTTCTAAAGTGGTATAGAAATAGTAAAAGAAGAGACTTAATTAGAAGAGTTGTCGGGTAGGGTTCCCATCCAAGTGGGTGGCAGCATGCCCGTTTGATCATGGACTGTCTGAAACAGAGGTGGCAACATTTTGTACACAGCAGCAACATCCTTCATGCCATTCGCATTCCCATCATTCGTCCAAATACTAATCTTTGGCTGAAGTCCACGTATGGCATCAGCATTGGTCTTGGCAATCTGTTGAAACATGCCATTATTTATCATCAAATAGTCTCTCAGATTGGCGTAGTTGCCTCCAAGTGCAGCAAGAAGTGTGCTTAAATATGCCCCTTGGGCATGCCCAAGTGCCACAAGCCCCTCTGCCTCTTTTTTCTTTGCAAATAACTCTGCTTCTGCTGCTTGTTGCCGACTGAAAAATGCTGCCTCTGCGAGTGCCTTTTGTGCTTCTGCCTCTTTCTCCTTCTCAAACAATATGGCTTCTGCACCTTTTTGCTTCTTGTAGAGCTCCCAGTTTGCCTCTTGCACCTTGGTTTCATAGTCGACACTGGCTTTGCTGAGGAACTCGGCTTTAAGCTTCTCGGTGGTGGTGAGAGCATTCATCCTCTCAACCTCCCTCTGCAACTCGGCTTCTCTGAGCGCCACAGCCTTTGCAGCCTCCACCTCCGCCACCTGCGCCGCCTGAGCCCACACAGCTTTCTTCTTGGCAAGCTCAGAGTTAGCCTCAGCCACCTCAGCCTCCCTCTCGTTCTCAAACACCTTCACCTCCGTCCTCACCTTTATCTCCTCCTTCTTCCCCGCTCCATGCCTCTGCGTGGATATGATATTGGTCTCGGCGTCGATCTTGGCCGCATTCTGCAGCGTCTGGCCCTCTCGCATCTTGGCTCCAACCTCTCCCTTCATCTTGGCCTCCGCCACGTCAACCTTGGCCTGGTTGGCAGCCTCCATCTGAGTCTTCTGGCCGAGGTAGGAGAAATACTCGTGACCGGGGACGTCCACCAGCTGCTTCACGTTGGCGTTGTAGATCAAAAGGCCGAACTGGTTGAGCTCAAGCTGAACCTTCTCGAACACCTCTTGCTTGAAGGATTTGGTGCCCCTGAAGATCTCTTCCATGGTCATGGAGGCAGCCAGGACACGTGTCTCGCCCTCGATGATGCCCTGCACCAGCTCCTTCACGTGGTGGGAGAGCTTGTCGTGGGAGGAGAGCAGCTTCGCGTATTTCAGGAGGCTGGAGTTGTCGTCCACCCTGGGACCGATGGTGAACACCGCCGGCAGGATGAAGGGAAGCTTCTCCGCGCTCATCGCCTGAACTTCGAAGGTGTAGTTCACCGGAGAGAGGTCGAAGACCGTGCATGACTGCCCCGGTAGAACCCATGCTTTCTTCGCAAGCTTTATATCCGCTATTCCCACGCCGGTGATCACCAGGTATTCCGACGCGTTCGCTACTCTGTACATCGTTTATTTTGCTTCTCAACCACTTGCACCAATTAGGTCAACTCTAGCTACCCTTATACCACCCAAACAGATCCACCTCTCTAATCTATATATACACACACATATATCATCTGCTTCATACTTCCTAACAACTATATTCAATAACTACATGATGCCGTGGAAAACAAATTAAGAAACATATAATTACAAAATTAAATGAAATTCAGATGAAAGAAAAAAATTTCTAATAATTCATATTTTAAAATAAGTCAAAACATATGCGAATTAAATAATATTGCTTATTTTACGAAACTACTGACGGAAAGTTGCCTCATACTTTCTCGGCTTTCCACTGCTTAATTTCATCAAATATATATATATATATATTGGCGAATTAAAATGTCCGCCAATTACTTTTAAGTGTGAAACTTTCCATACACGGAAGCAATAACAATGTCCCTAGGATCTATTACGATATTATTTATCTTATTAAAAATCAATCAACATTAATTGAAGTTGTGAAATATGCTGATAGAGTTCGCCTAACTCTTTTGAGGGCTTAGTTAATGTCCAAACATAGCAAAAGGACCACCATGAGTTGTAAAGTTTTAGGTGATGTAAATCAAATCGTAATTCCCCTTAAATTAAAGATGTTGTGATACATGGTTTGGATGGTTATTTTCCGTACGATCTTAGCCTGGAATTAGAATTATTGAAACGTGAGTTTGAGTCAAATATGGTTAAAAAGATCGATGAATTAAATAAGCTGAGGCCGACCAATCCTAAACCTAAATACTTGGTCCACGAATCCAATAAAAACTAATTGTTTCGACACCTCGCAGTTTCGTAAATTTTTTTGTGGTCTTTCAATTGAACTGGGAGCACGCCACGAGCCTTGAAGGCATCTTCAAGTTGAAAGAGAATGAGAGAGATTTGGATGCTCTTAATCAGTAATATCGAAATTAAAAGTTGACTCGAAGCGGAGAGATTGTATATTTTGTGTGAGCTGGTATGAGATATTTATAACTTCTTTTGACTTTATGATGAAAAGTAAAATATATCTTTATGTAATTTTTAGAGATAAAAGATTATCCTTAAAAGATTAGATAATTACCTCTTTAGAATGATTAAACTTGTGTGGCAAGCAACCTAGCGTGATGGATATCCTTCGAGACTTATATCTAAGATGTAAAAGACAACAGTAAGGCCGGATTAGCATATAAGTTTTTATATTGTTCAAATAATGTTTGATGCACTTGTCAGATAATTTCTGATAATATTTATAGAGAAATATTAGTAATAAGTTATTTTAAATAGGCTCTTTTATTAATTAAAATATATTAAAACTTATAAAAATTTGTAAGCCTTACATGTTACACAATAATTACTATAATTGTTAAAAACTTGAGGGTTTAAAAAAAATTTAACCCTATTTTAAATATGAATAATTTATTTTAAAATTATTAAAATTTACTTAATAAATAAAATTGAATTAAATAAAAAGTTAAAAAATCTATAATTAAAAATTTTCTCATAAAGAAAAGTCCTAAAAACACTATCATACAAAATAATTGTGTTTAAAATATATAGGAGTTTTATTTTATAAAAAAAAATGAATTTGATAATTTTTTTTATAAACTAAGGTGAAAGCTATTCGAGATATTGAAATCAATTTAAGGAGTTGACCTCTCCGAACAAATATTTTTCCATCCATATTGATCATGATAGAACCTCTAGCTATGTGCTTAAGAGACAATTATCTATTAACTCTGTCACACTTTATTAGTAATTAAATAAAAAGTTATAATAATTTAAATAAAGAGTTGACGGATTAACACGCTCTCAACTTGTATGTTAACAGATACACAGGACATGTAAAAACAGGTTGGTGAAATGAAAAACTAAACTTGTCACAACCTATCAAAATAGGTTACACAAGTTGATTCATTGTATTCAACTTCTTTTATATCATTCCTAAATATAAATTTGCTCTTTACCAAATTGATCAACCTTTTATTGATATCGTAAATTTTAGCTATATAAATATAAATATTTATTTTGTGCGTCAAATTGACTAGAATACTATTTTATTCAAATTTAATTTTAATAATTTCTGTTAGTCATAGAAAAAATATCTTAAAAGTCAAGTGCTTGTTTAGGAGTTGAGCTTATGCCGTTAAAACAAAAACAATTCCCCCTTTTTTTTTTTTTTTTTTTTTTGATTTGGATGTCAAAGGCTTTTCCAAACATACACTAAATTAATACTCAGAAGTTGCGTGCTACTTTTCTCAGCTCTCCGCTGCTTAATTTCATCGAAAACAATATCTTGAACCGAACAGCCATGAACGATGATATTGTATATGCGATAAATGACAGTCAAATAGCTGTAATAAAATGGAGTAGTGGTACAAAACTAGTACAATCCTAACGCCATTTTTTTATTCTCATTACATTGTTGTAGGACAATTGTTGAACCGTTTCTGAGTTCTAGATTATATCTACTTTGTATTAAGGAAAATCCAAAATAATAGGTTAACTAAGCAAATCAACTTTTGATCATTAATTATATAAATATTGGACGAACTATAAATGGTGTTTTGAACTTGTTTTATCATTGACATTTGGAATATAACTCACGACAATCAGAAATTCCAAACTAAGAATAATGAGAAACGCCAGTTGTGTACTCCGCGTATTTCTTTTCTGTTTTACGTTTCCTAAAATTGTTGAATACTAACCTGTTGGTTTGAGAAGAGAAGAAAAAAAAATCATTTATTTATAAATTGTTCGGGATTATTTGGTCTTTCAGAAAATACCAAGGTCTAGAAAGGTTGAAATTTTCAGATACCGTTCACAATACTCTTCATTGTATCCATTTATTTGTTTCTTTTCTGCTTAGTTTAAGATGAATTTCCGAGGTATTGCCAATTGGTTCCGCCCGTTTTAATATGGATATTTTTGACCAGGGCATTCATAGTTTTACGGAATGATAAAGATTTGTCTAATTAACGGAGTTTTGTTGCATAATCATTCACATATGGAAAAAAGAATCTAATGAGTTTTGGAACTTCTCAAATTTTAGGTTGAATACGAGTCCATAATCTACTAGATTCTTCATAAACATCAATTTACGATTCATGGGTCACTAGCGTTTTAGATCTACCACAAATAAGGATATGAGTGGGGAGAAAATGGATAGGCTACTATAGTACATGTACATTCGTATCTACGTTTAAAGAAAAAAAATACTTCTACGTGTTTTCATTTTTGTGGGATGGCAATTTTAATTCACACTCTTGTATTCTTATATAGTCATACATATATCTGCTATCCGTATTTTTTTTAGTATAATATCAATAAATCAATAAAAAAGTATTAATGAAAAAAATCATATAACTAACTGAAATTTCACTTTTAAATTATTTAAACACAACATTAAAAAAAAAGGCTCAAACAAAGTTTTAAATCATTCAAACGATATTAGAAACATAACATTGAAAATATAAACTTTAATAATTTAAATTAGAAACTTGACATCATATTTTTTATCAAAAAAATATTGAATAATAATAATGAAAATTAAACCTAAATCCTTATCATTTATCTTAATCTCTTCTACTAATTAGCTTATAATTATATTTTTTTAAAAAAAGGTAATCTATTAAACAAATTTTCTAGTCTACAATTTTCATGTTTTATAGAAACTAAACCACGATAAGAAGTCTAAAGATAAACAGGCTAAATAATGATTGAGGATATTAATTGAAGATAGAAAAATTTTAATTGAATAAATAAAATATTGTAACTTAAGATTTTTGGTTAAGTTTTATATTATAAATATTTTATTTAAAAAGTTATGTATACTATAGGTATGGTGGACACTACTATACTTCTCATACCTTGCCCTCGTGATGTCCGTTGAATTTAATAGGTAAATTTTTGTTCCTATCCTAATCTATAACTATTATAAAAGAGATATAGAAGATGTAACTGCTTTTTGATCTCCATTTTTTAATGGACTATTATACCCTCAGATATAGAAAAAATCTTAAATTTTCTTTAAATAATTATACGTAACTTTTGAATATTTTATTAATGAATAACTATTAGAGACACGAAGTGCTTCTACCCTTCTAGTATTTATTATGAGAGTTTTTACCATTTTTATTAAAGATATTTTTTGTGAATACCTTTGATGTTCAAGTGTATTCTTTAATTACAAGATTTTATTATTAGGTCGATTCTAGTAATTTATGCATTTTAATAATGTAAAATATAGTTATTAAATTAATTAAATAGTTTAGTTTAACCCAATTTCCAAATTAGTGTAAAATTAAAGAGTATAGATCGACTCATTCAATAAGTCAAGTCAATTTTGAGAATTTTAGTAAAACATATTCCTTATTTTTTTTATGATAACAACAAGGTTCTCTCTTAAAATTTGGATTCTACAAACAAATTTTGTTATTTAACTTTTGAATTTGTTCATTTTGATACTATAAACTTTTAAATTTCACATGTTTTGTTATTTATTCATCTAATATCATTGATTGATTTGACACTTTGATCATTGATATTAGCAAAATGACACATTATGTTACTAATCATTTATATATTACATCATTATTCCACATTAACCATCACATATCATATTAATAGTTAATGTGTCAAGTTATTAATAACATTAGACAATTAATGAATTAATGAGACGATAAAAATATAATTTTAAAATTTTTATGGAAAACTGTACCATTTGAAAGTTTAGTGAAAGATTTATAAATATGTGAAATATATATGAGTGATAGAAAATGTAATTAAACCTATAATTTATTTACCCAAACTATATTACACTTTTATTTTCCTTATAATTTTCAATATGCGATTTTAGTTCTCTTTTTTCTTATTCATAAAAATCAAGCTTCATACTAAGGAGTTTATAGCACTCACATTCTTAACTCAACCAACTACACTACACCTTTTTGGTTAGTCCTTTTTTAATTACATGATTTTAGTTCTTCAATTTTTACATTTATGTAATTTTAATATTACTTGTTAATTGATTTTTAGTTGTCTAATAATGTGATATGTTAATTTTAATATGACAATTTAATGTCGACATTAATTAATAAAGTATAACTTTACATAACAATCAAAATTGATCTTGACATTTTTATAAATTTTATGTAAAACGATATAACATTGAAACCCTATATATAAATATTTTTAAAATATGAATATTTATAACATAGAAATAAATTTTTGATTAGATTGAAAATGACTCATTTTATTATATTAAATAGATAGTATAATATTAACAAATTTCAAAATAATATATATTTTTATTTAATTTACTTCTATACTATTGTTTATTATAAAGAGTAAAATAAATAATTTTGAGAATTAAAAGTAATACGATCTTAATATTAAAAAGATCAAAATAAAACACAAATCTTGAGAATAAAATTTTACTTTAAATTTTGGAGAGAGGCCAAAAACATAATTTATACTTTTATAATTATAATAGATGAACAAAACAATAAAAGAACAAAATTTTATAATCATATCATATTTTTACACTTAAATATAAAAAATTATAAATAGGATTTCTTTAAAATAATATAAAAATGATTACATATAATTATATATATTTTTATTTATTTTTGCTGCCCTCTTAGTTATGATCCCTGTATGATCACACTTCTAAACTATGTTCAAGACGGACTATAGTAGCAACTCATCCATGACCCTTGCTACAAACTTCACTAATTAAATTTTTCCCTTTTGCAACGGGTATCTTCACCCTACATTTTTTCAAATGTCTTTTTACTATCATTTTATAATGAAATGTAGCGATTTTATGTTATGACATCCAAATGACTTAAAAAAATTAATCATAAATTAAGAAAAGAGACATTTTGTAATTTTATATATTAATTTAAGATTTTATAATTAAATAATAATATTAAATTATTTTATACATTTAATACATTGCTTATTTTTTTATTTAAAATTAATATGATTGAGATACTTTATCTCTATTAAAAATAAAATAAAAACTGAAATTAAATAATAAAAAAATATAAGATTAATTAATATTGTTATTGATCTTTGGGTTTTAAGATTTTAAATTCAAATTTTAAGTTTGACAAAAAATTATTTTTTATTTTTAATAATAAAAAAATATAATGATCAATTAAATATGAAAACTAAAATAGTTACTGATAATATATCTCATATATATTAGTATAGATGTGTGTATAAAATAATATTTATTTCATATAAAAAAAATTTAAAAAAATGTAAGCCTATCTAAGTAAGTGTGAATGTAATTCAAGTTGAGAAACGTTTTTCAAAACGATAGGTTTGTTGTTTGTGTTTAGCTGTGTTAGCATGAAAAGGAGGGAAAAAAGGCAGGGGCAGAAAAACCGGCTGAAACGGTGGTCCATACTTGTCTTAAAGTCAAAAGCGGAATAGTAAGAGTAGCGAAATACGTTGGGGAACGAGCCCAATCGATTAACTTCATATTGGTTTACATCTCACTCTCATTCATCTTCCACTTTTGACCTTTTTCAGCTACAATTTGGGAAATCACCCGCCTCTCAAATTATAATTATCCTTCATTAATTATTTTTTAAGTATAAATTAATTTTTAAAATTATATAAACAAAAATATATATATTACTGAATACAATACATACATATAACGTGATTATTACTTTTCGTTCGACTCTTGGGTAAAAAATGACATGTTTGTGAGTTTTGAAAAACTTTAATATTTACTATTACCTTACACTACGCGTGATTCAATGTTTTAGGATTGTTTTCATTGACACTAATGGGGTGCACTAAGCTTTTATTTGTTCAACAACTTATTTACCTCCTTAATTTTAAAGTTCATATTTCTATTTCAATAATGCCATTTTCTTATATCAACACCATTACCAATACTTAATCATAACTAAAAATAATGAGCATAATTTTCTTTTTGTGCGTGAATAGTGAGTTCGGTTTCTTTCTCATCCAACGGGAAAGAAGAAAAAAGGACTGAAAAATTAAATTTTATATAAAGAGGGTATTTTTGCCTTTTCCTCTTCATTTATGGGTTGTGGATGGAGACATCAAGAAATCCTTATTAGGGATGAAAATGAATCTAATGAGAATAAGTAATAGGGTACTCATATTTGTTTGTAAGAAAAAAATTTGCTCTATACCCATTTAATATTTGAACAAATATTTGTCAGGTAGCTACTTGTAAATTTTACAAATATATATCTATAAATATTTATGAAATTTTTAAAAAATATTATAAATAACTTTAAGTTTGTGACTTTGGACAATTAATTAGAGAGAATAATAAAATTTAAATAAAAAAATATTTTGAAGGATATGAAAATAAAATAGTTAAAAAAAAGTGAACATAAAAAAATATAGATTTAAATATATTTTTAGTCCCTCAAATTTAAGGTAAATTTGTTTTTGGTCCCTCAAATTTAAAATTATTATTTTTAGTCCTGTAATTTCAAAAAATCTTATTTTAATCCTTATATTCAAATTTTGTTAAGAAATTTATCAAATATTATTGTATAAAATCTACCTATTGGTATTTTTATTAGTGAAAATATCACATTAAATTTGATTAATATTGCATAATTGTCTTAATTAGTCACTTTCAAATATGTTATTGGTAACCTAAGGGACTAAAACAAGATTTTTAAAAATTATAGGGACTAAAAACAACAATTTTAAATTTGAGGGACTAAAAATAAATTTGTCTTAAATTTGAGGGACTAAAAGCATATTTAAGCAAAAAAAATATATCATCTTTATTAATAGTATAAATATATGATTAATATCAATATTTTCTTTTCAATCGTTTGAAGTTAATTTTATTTAAGATAAATACTTAAAGCATTACAAAGATTTAAACTTTTGTGGTTTTGTTCCATGAATGTGGGACACTAACTTAAAGTTGACTATTGTGAAAATGAATTGATTTGAAATTGTATTATACTAGTTTTTTATTTATTGAATTGTCTTACTAAATAAACTTTTCATAATTTAGTATTTGAGTAAGAAAGATTGTGTACCATTTTAATTTCGTGTCAATTGAGTTGATGGATTACATAAACTTTTTACACTTTAATATTCGAGTTTAAAGAGTTGAGTAACTGACTAAATTGTTCAACTAATTTCAATTCAATGTTGATTTGTTTCTTATAAGTAATTAAAGATAAAGTATTGTAATTTGCACAATAAATACACTAATAATCATTAATATTATTTAATATTTATGAATCTAATGATAATAAGATCTAATATTATTTAGAAGGATTGTAACGATACTCCATAAATTGATCCTAGAAAATGAAACTTGTATTAGAGGGACTCTCTGACTTCAAAGGAATTTAGGTTATACTCGTTTAATCCTCAGAACTTAAATAGTAATTAGAATTATCTAATGACAGTTGTCTGGAATAAAAATTGTTTAGCCTAAATTAATAGTTGAGTTTAATTTTGGATACAGTAAGTGACCTGAACTTTATTAATCTCAGTAATTCTAGTAGGCTCCAATAAAATTATTTAATATAATATATTTTGATTATTATTTTCCCGGCATTTGGTAATGGTGGGGCATTAACGAGGTTAATTTGCAGTGCGACTGGGCGGTCTCCCAAACCCGATATTATTTTCCAACGTTTAACTCTTTCTTCTCTCTCTCCTGTGTGGGACAGAGATTGCATTTGCCAGTGACACAGTGTGAGTGAAGAACACAGGAACACACCCCTCTTTCTCTCTCACTCAACTAACTTCATGTTCCTCGCTCTCACATAATGTTAAGTTACAGGCCACTGCATTTTTGTTTTCTGCTCACATTTTTCTTCTCCACTTCCTTTCTCTTGTCACTCCAAGCCTCAGGTATTTCACTCACTCCTTTCTCTCTCATTCACTGTTTGGGCGGAACCCAAACACGCCTCTAATTTGAACAAACCTTGTCATATTTTTTCACCACTCTAGTTCAGTGGGGGACAAAAAGTCAGCACTATGACAAAGCAGGGCAATGTTTCATATTATTGTGGCTACTCTCTCACTCTTGAACATGTTTCACTAGAAAGCATGAACAAAAGACCCTTTGTATCTTTTGTGTTTTACAGGACAAGAAAATGAAGGAAAGGATGTGCGCTTTTCCCGGTTGATTGCATATGCCGCTGCTCCGTTCGAGAACTCAGCTCTTCCCTTAGCTGCAGAGAGAACACATAGAAAAGACCCTCTCAATGGCTTCAATAAGTACATTTATGGATGGAATATCAGTGACAGCCATTATTGGGCTGTAAGCTAAGCTCTTCAAACCGTTACTCTTTTCTGCTGTACTGTAATGGTTTTATAGTGTGCTAACCACTATATGTCGCTGTTAAGTTTCAAAATTTGGGCTTACACTCTCATTCTGGGACTGCCGTCACCAATTTTCGGCTAATATTTTAGATTTTTTGCCAAAATTATGAAGTGTGGAATTGTCTTTGGAAGTATATGGAATAATTCCAATGTTGCCCCAATATATAGGATAAAACCTAGGTGCTGTATGTTAAATGTTTTTGGTGATGCTCTTTAACTGAAATTCGAGTTCTATCTGGGTGGTGGTTGGAACTCTAGTTTTGTAGTGTTGTCCATGTATAAATACCTGACTAATGTGCAGCTTTGAGTAAAATGTGAGCGTCTAGTTGGGCGCTGTTAAAAATTCATTTAAATATTCCCCTGCATGTAATCTTAAAAAAAATTAATATTTATATGTGTCATATGATCACATGACTTGTTATTTTTTTAGGGTTAAATACGTTTTTCTCTCCTATAAGTTAGACAATGTTTATTTTTAGTCCCTAAAAGACAAAATCATTTTCCTTTAGTCCATCCTCTATAAAAATGAGTCAGATGTTGTCCTTATTTTTCACTAAACATTGTCTCGAATAAGGATAGCATATAACACATTTCTATAAATCTATAAATAAGGGACTAAAAGAAAATCATTTATATGAGGCAGAGGGACCAAAACCAACATTGTCTTATTTACAAGACTAAAAACATAGTTTTATTGGATGAAGCATCAAGCTAGCATAGTGTGTTATTCATGGGGAAAAATAGGTACTTAAACTACGCTGCAAATTTGATTGTTTGAATTTGATCTGGCCTGCATAGATTGCAGTTTGGGTGAAGATTGCTCATTTCTGACTGGTGATTTCTGTTGTTATGTTTTATTATTTGTCAATTTCATGTCTTTTAAGCTGTTTGGTTAGCTCTGCAATATTGAATTCCAAAATACAAAGTCCGCTTACAGTTTTTGTATTGAATGCAGTCTGTGGCATATACTGCAGTTCCAGTGTTTAGTATTGCAGCTGTCTGGTTCTTGGGCTTTGGCTTGTGCTTATTGATCATCACTGTTTGTTACTTCTGTCGTAAAAGAGAGCCTTATGGTTATTCGCCAACATGCTATGCCCTTTCCCTTATTCTCCTGATATTATTCACATTTACAGCAATGTACACATCTCTCTCTCTTCTTCTGTTTTGCTGGTTTCAGGTTTACTTGTACCTGGATTACAAATTGCACCTTTCTGTGTTAACAGGATTGGATGTGCAGTTCTCTACATTGGCCAAGGAAGTTTTCATCATAGCATGACGTCAACATTGCAGTATGTGGTAAATCAAGCTGATTCTACTGTGGATAAGCTTAGGAATGTGTCAGATTATCTTGCTCAAGCTAAGCAGGTTGGAATTGATCGAGTTTTTCTCCCCACTAATGTTCAAACTGATATTGATGAGGCAGAAACAAATATCAATAACTCTGCGGGCACACTTGCTGATAAGACAAAGGAGAATTCAGACAACATACGAGATCTCTTAGATTCTGCGTAATGATTGATTATAATTTTTTTCCCTCCAGATATTTGTTTTTTTATTGATTTTCTCCTCAATAATAACATGAAAATGACAAGAAAAAATAACATGAACGTGACACTGATACAGGAGGCTGGCACTAATCATAATAGCTGCCGTAATGCTAGTCTTGACATTTCTTGGATTTTGTGAGTCCCTTCAATGCCCCAATTTTGATACAGAAGTTGTTACTTGCTATGGTATTAATTTTTTTTTATGACTTGTTACTGCAGTATTCTCAATTTTTGGCATACAGCTCCTTGTGTATATGTAAGTAACATATCCTATGTGCCACCTAATGTTATATATTTGCGATTCTTTGCTTGTAAACATAACTCCGGTTTTCATTATACTTTCTCATTAAACACTTTGGCATGAATAATTGCAGCTTGGTAATCGCAGGATGGGTTCTTGTTACTGGCACCCTTATATTATGTGGCTTGTTCCTTGTTCTCCATAAGTAAGTTCCCACTCCCTTTCCCCTAAAATAGTCAAAATATATTCGATGGTTTTGCCATATATTTTAATACTATTAAGCGAGTTATTTTTTCAGCTATTTTTTTGCCCTTTTTTAGCCAGCTGTTATTAGTTAGTTAGTTTTCAAATAAGCTTCATATCCAAGCTGTATTGTATAGTTAAAACGTTTGACAAGTGATCAATTTTATATTGAGAGCACATCGCTCATTTTTCTTGTAATTTTCTCTCTCAAGTTTATCGTTATCATATGATATCAGAGCTCTTTTCTTGGAGCTCTACCACCATCGCTACAATGAAATTGATTCTTGGTGCAGGAGCTTATCCAAGATTGCATTTAAAACTTGACAAGCTCCTTCACTGAGAATCTTTTATCTTAATCTGAAATTGATCACTTCTCACAAGTTTTTACTATACAATGCAGCTTCCTTATGAAAGCTTGCATGTGAAAAGTAACTAACTAATAGCAGATGGCTACAGTTCGCTAACCAATGTGGAAGCAAGGATTTATGATCTTGTATGAATAATCACATTGTTATTACTACTTTGCCTTATGTAGTACTATTATTCAATCATGCCCATAGAATGTGTAGTACTTTGCCTTCTAGAGCCTTGAATTTGAAGGATTCTTCAGAAATAACTTGGAAAAATTATGTTAAACTTGAGGTTCTGGTCTAACATGTCCTCCAGCCTTGAAATTTGAATTTTACAGGTCCGTCATAAATCTCTCGGATAAATTATGTTAAACTTGACGTTGTGGTCGTGGTCTAACTCTCATTTCTCACCTTATAATATTTTACCAAGTCCGATGTTTATAATTTCTTTTTATTTATTTATTTAGACGTGGAATTTGCCATTGAGTGTGGCGCTAATATCTTTTCATTTTGTTTTGCTAGTGCGACAGCAGACAGTTGTGTGGCTGTGAATGAGTGGATCCAGTATCCCACTGCACATACAGCTATGGACGATATTCTTCCCTGTTTGGACAACGCCACTTCTCAAGAAACACTGTCACGGAGCAAAGAAGTGACTTCTGAACTAGTCAATTTGGTCAACCAAGTTATCACCAATGTCTCCAACTTAAATTTCGCCCCCAATTTCACTCCACTCTACTATAACCAATCTGGTCCCTTGATGCCGCTCCTCTGCAATCCCTTCCATCCTGATATGACAGATAGGCAATGTGATGCTGGTGAAGTGACCCTAAGCAATGCAACACAGGTACATTAATTAAACCTTATCAAGCATAGCTTGTTTGAAAACTCCTTGACAAGGAAAGAAAAGTTTGGAATGCGAAAGCTATTACTATACAATGCAGCTTTTGAAAATCATATCTGAGATGTGAAAAATCACATCCAAAATGTGAAACCAAACATGTTTTGTCGTGTTAAGACTAACTAAAATGATTAAGATTATGTTGGGATAAAAGTACTCATAAGAAAACAACATAAAAATAAAATAAAATAAACTTTTGTGCAAGTTAAAATTAATGTATGTATTTCAATATGAAAGTCTTCTCATTTAATTTCTCCACAGAATAATATGTCTTCCTACAAATTTTCCTCCTATTTTATAAAAGGAAAGTATTAAATGAAAAAATACATTCATGATTCAACACTTACCCGAAACGAGGGAGAGGATTTTGTTTTTTTTTAAACAAATATTCTTCATTGGAAAACAATCTTGTTCAAGTGTATTAACGGCAAAGCTTTCTCGGAGTATTTAATACAGTTGTATGTCAAAACTTGAACTAAAGGAGAAGAAAGAGAGGATTGAGATGGAAGTTGATTTTAATTAATCGAAACAAAAATTGATTCATTTTATTTTTTATTTTCTTGTTTATTGCTAAACTTGATTAGTTAAAAGAGAAAGACTCATGGTTTCATGATCTAAGTTGAATTTCTATTCTACTCACTCAAAACATAGTTTGTGTTAATAGTAGTTTGTGTGTGATGCAGGTGTATGGGAATTTTGTGTGCCAGGTTTCACCATCTGAGATATGCATGACCCAGGGGCGTCTAACCCCTACCTTCTTTAACCAAATATCTGCTGGAATAAACGTGGGCAACGCATTGTATAATTACGCCCCGTCCCTGATTGAGCTTCAAGATTGCACGTTTGTTCGAGAAACTTTAAGCGATATATCCAGCGACCATTGTCCTGATTTACGGCGTTATAGTAGATGGATCTATATTGGATTGGTAATGGTCTCTTTTGCTGTCATGTTCTCCTTGATCTTCTGGATCGTGTATGGCAGAGAGCGAAGACATCGTCTTTATGCAAGGGAGTCAAAGGACTTTAATCCTTCGCATGCACCACCACCAGGACAAACATTAGCGTTAGCTCAGATCCCTGAAGGGGACAAGGATAATTAAGCAAACTAATTCATAATGATGTTGCTCTTCCATGTGTGAACTATGTTTAGCTTTTCCCGATGTTGGGTGTATAATGTTGTAGCTTCTTTGTATGACACACTAGTTTTTTAAAATGACATGTCATTATGAAAAGGGGAAACGAGGAGGAGGAATCAGACATATGACAAGGCACAATCAGAAGGAAGGAGCTCATTGTTTTGTTCTTCTGTGGGGCCAAATCATGAGATGAGACCAACGTGGCTGGTCTAAATGTTGGGCAGTGTTTGTTTGGAGGTATAGCCCACAACAATGTCACACGAAAAGGTTAACGGTTAACCTAACATGTTCCTTAAAATATATGAAAAGCCTGGTTAGAGAATAGGGTTTGTTGGTCGGTTCACCCAACTTGACCGCATTTTGTGCAGGTCCTCTTTCACTTCAAGGGTCAGTGTCGACAGTGAACCAAAATCTCTTCTACGAAATGTCTCGTGAGTCGTGATTCTGTTTTCATTTTAGAAAGATATACTTAGACGTGTTATTTAAAAACCTAGTGAAGAATAAAGAAGGTTATTTAAAACCTAGTGAAGAATGAAAAAGGTTGAAACGACATTGGTATAATTTTTACTAAGTATTATATCATTTAATAACTTTCTATTAATTGAGAATTTTGTAATCACTTTATACGTATATATCAAATTTTGTTAAAATTGAACAAACAACTTGAAGATAATTAAAGTGTTCATATTTTAGTGTATTTTGAAATGAATATATTATGTTAATTTTGTTTTATAAGAATGAAGTATCAAATCATCTTGAATTAATATAAAATTTTGTATATATCTAGGAGTAAAGAACTTTCAATCTAACGGTTGAATTTACAAAATTCATATTTAATATAAAGTTATTGAGTGGTGTAACACTTAGTAAAAGTTACACCGATGTCGTTTGAACCCTTCTCTTTATATATATAAAGAAGAGATTCATTTATTTTAAAAGTAAGTTTATCTATATTTATTTTATTTAATAATTTATGTATTATAATAAATTAACTATTAAATTTAAAATTTTTAATGCATAAATTAAGTATATGAATGTTTTAAAAATTAAAAATTATATGATATTTGGTTTTATTATCTTAAATTGATGAATAATCATGAAAATATTTTATATCTTGATTTGAATTAATAAAATAAAATATTAAATAATTTTTAAATTTTTTTAAATTTGTAAACTTGATTTATGTATAAATAATTTTAAATACAATGATTGAATTGTTAAAATTTGATGTAAAACATAAATTATTGAATGAAGTGAGTTTAAATAGATTTACTTGTAAATTAAATGAATCTCTCTCTCTCTCTCTCTCTCTCTATATATATATATATATATATATATATATATATAATATGAGTGTTTGATTTTCAAGATTTTATCTTTTTTATGCAAATCTATATATATTTTAAAATTTTAATTATAAATATGAAATCTTTGATTTAGTAATGATATTTTTTTATTTTATTTTATAAGTCATGATGAAATTGAGATCTTTGTACTTGTATATAAATTATCAATGTTTTTGGAAGAATTATATGTATTCATAAGTTTCATACTAAATATAAGAGGTTTTATGAGAAATAGTTTGAATAAAAAATCTACAAAATCTTCCTCTACTTTAACAATTATATGTATTGTGTTTTGTTCATTATTATTTTAATTTCTACAAAAATATTTGAAACACTTGTACTAATATTTTGTGAGAGAAAAAAGAAAGTTGACTTAAATTATTTATTTATCAAAAACACATCACTTAGAAGAGGGGAAAAAAAGTAAAAGTGAAGATGTTAAATCAAAATATTGTGTTAAAATAATAGATGATTTCTTAAATTTTAATGATGACAAATAAAAAAAAATTAAGCAAAGTCAACATTCTTTACAAATATATCATATGAGATGAAATGTGGAAAAAATATATATCATCTATGAGATGAAGAAAATAAGACGAAATATACAATCTGTCTTAGGATAGTAAATCGAATACTTCCAAAATAGGTCTAACATTAAATTTCATTTAATGTATTATTTCTTAACATATCGAACAAGAAAGAAGTTTCATAAGTCTCAGTTTATTAAAGAAGAAAAAGACAAAATATTCGTATGAAACAAAAGGCAAAATCCTAGAAATTACAGAAAAGGTGGTGCAAAAGACTACTTTATGCGAACTTCAATTACTCACACTACTTCTGCTCTGCTCATTTTAGAAGGAAATGATGATAAATAATCTACAAGATTAGATAAGAAATACATGTCTTACTGAAAGGCATTTAATGCTTGCATTAAATACATCAACGACAATCTCTAGGATTAACTAAGAAGATAAACAAAGCGACTTAAGAAAAAGATTGAAAAGTTCAAATCAAAGTTGTTGTAACGGTCATCTTTTTCGAAGTTTCTATAAAAAAATCCAGCCTTCAAACAACGAAGATAGAGAAGTGTTGTAAACAAAAAAAAGAAAAAAAAAACATTTACTAAGAAGTGCATATTGAGAAACACACCGAGTCACACAAAGTTGAAGTACTACAAAAAAGTGTTTTATTGTAAATCATGTTCATAGTTCTTTGTAGACTATTTATGCATAAGTTTCATAGCATTGTGTCTGAAAGAGACAAAACTATCTTTGCAACTCTTTTCAAATTTATATTTGTAAGACTTGAGCCTAAAGAGGCTTGTTGAAAATAATACTTGATGTTGGACTTGAAAAATACCTAGTGTTGAGCCTGGAGAGACTTGTTCAAAAGAATACTTAGTGTTGAGTCTAAAAAACCTTGTTGAAAGAATACTTGGGTAGTTGCTTGAAGAGACAAGTCAAAGACTACTTAGATTTAAGCCAGAAGTGACTTATTTAAAGAATACTTGTATCTTATGAAAGATAGTGAAACTCGAATTGGTTAGATTGAAAATTGGACGTAATCTTTGGGTTTGAGACGAACCAATATAAAAGACATGTGTTCCTTTATTTGTTGCATTCCAACACTTCGTTTATCAAAGTTTTTACTATTTCATTGCATTTCAATCGCGTGAGTTTTTGATACATATTCAACCCCTCGTTCTAGCGTATATTTTTTTTTCTCCAATAGAAGAAAAAATATTTTCACATTACTTCATTTTATTGATTTAAAAAATTAGTTGTATCAAAATAACCCATTTTATATGGGCATAGTAGTAACTCCCATATAGAAATATTACTCTTTAATTTTTGTGGGTGTAAACCTTATCAATTTATCAATTTGACCCATGATGAACAAGTCCACTAAAAATGAAGGGTTCAAAAAAAAGAAGACACTTTGAGTTGATTTTAATTTATCAGTGTACTTTCCAAGTTTTAGGTTAATCATTCCTGACTCAATTTCTTTTTGGTCGATTATCAATGTCTCTTAGATCAAGAGTCCAATCTACCCTAGGTTAATTGCCTACTTTTAAAAGTATTCAGTTGAATTTAATTTATTATTATATATATCCAAATTTTAGGTTAATCATTCCTCACTCAATATCATTTAGGCCAACTATCAATGTCTCTTATTTGACAATCCGAACTTTCTATCTACTTCTAAAAGTATTTTGACTAGAGCTAATAGTCAGATATTGTTATTGATTTGGTCTTTCTAAAACTCAATCCTTTTGTTTAAGTAATATCAACTACATCATAGTCGAGGTATCGATCCTTAATATATCGTACCTATTGCATGGACCAATATTACTCCCACATTCAAAATTGGGTGTGGACCAACATAGTCACGTTCATAAACATGAACAACATGATGACTTGTAAAATTGTAAATGATGATTTATTTTCATAAATGTACAAATTGACTATTAAATTATTAAACAAGTTATTATGAGATTTTTGAAAACTTTTTGAAAATCTCAAGAGTCTAATATATGAAAGATATATGTATATAATTCAGCCATAAGTTAGGACATATTAAATTACCCTCTATAAATATTTTGGATTTGAATTATCGTTGAATTATTTTAGGGGAGATCCTCGTACAATAATTGCTATATACATCTCACCAATTTTTGCAGATAAAAAGAATAGGTGGGGCATAAGCCCAAACAATAGAAAGACAACTAACATGACAGTCGGAGAAAAGGAACTCCAAATGAGTCTAGAACAAAGGTTGGGGAAAGGGAGATTGTTCAAACACATGGAAAACTGGAAAAGTACCATACGAAAAGTATGCCCAAGTTTATGGGGCTATTGACACTCCTATTCGCTTCAAAGAACACGTGACAGACTAACACAAACATGCAATCCTAGAAACGGTGGAAGTTTGAGAATTTCAAACGATAACAAAGAAATGCAGATGAGGTTTGTCTTTTTTAACAAATTTTTCTTTCGTACATTTTAGCATGTTTAATTCTGTTCATGTAAATCTTCTCAGAACTATAGTTTTGAAGGAAGCAAATATCTCACTAACGATGTCATAGAACATTTTTCTTAACGTGGCAATTTTATAGGACGCGTCAATTTGACTATTTTAGTATTCAACTCCAGAAACCTTATATTTATGCCAAGATAAAATAAGTTCACATAAAAACGACCCCTTGACGATGACCACGATAACAATTAACAACAATAACAACCTCTAAACAACAATAATAATAAATCCATAAAAGAGCACTTAATAATCATACAATTCCCTTACCGTTGCCTATATAAATACGATTCGCATGTCCATCGAATCTTGGAAGAAACAATTAGTTAGCTTTACATTAACGTCAAAGCTATTTTGCTAACCTAGTTAATAAGGATATTATATTTAAAAATAAGAAATACATTAAAACTACTTTTTGTTTAGTTCTAAAAAACAACTTTTATTTAATTAAAATGTACTGATAGTGTAATTTTTACACTATCATCTATTTACAAATTGTTATATACAATAAATTTGTTGAATTTTATAAAATGATATTGAAAATTAAAAATTAAAAATATAATTCTTTTGGTGAATTTAAAATTCTTTGTAATGAAATGTTTATTTGGATAAAGATTTTACAAATAAATTGAAATTTTAGTCATTTATGAAAGTATTTTGATTATTTAAAAGATGATTCATAATTATTTGAAACTATAAAAATATTTGCAAA